CTATTAGCCAGATATTTTTCTTATTCCATATGCACATGCATTTCTGATTACAATTATATATAACATTTAATATCTCCACGTGTTCTGGAGCTCTGTTTATTGAGGTCACATTTAACATTCCTTAGCAAAGTCCAAATATAGAGAAAGGAATACTACACTGAATACAATGCAGACAGTTAATGCTTACTTGCAGTACAGAATGTATATACAACATGTTCAACCATTGTATTTTAAGATGAGAAGAAGGAAGGAAGGAACGGAGGGAGGGAGGGAGGGTGGGAGGGAGGCACATATAGTAGCATGGTCGATGAAGACTTACAGACACGCAAGCTTCTCAGAAATACACAAATAATTTTGCAACACACATTTCAAAAAAACCTTGAGTGTTCATTCCATTTACAACAGATCTTCCAATGCATTTCAAATAGGTTGAAATCATGTCTTTGAATGTTTACTTTGTTATGGTATTAATTTATATTGCTTTCCTAAACACATCTACCCAAAAATACACTTCATGGAATTTAAAGGGACTGAATTACAAAAAAGTGCGTTTAGGCTACAGATTCAATCAAATTCTGATACCTGAAGCATCATAAAGAAAAGAAACACCATTTTCTCAGTACTCTAATTATTCAATGTAGGAATCTATAATTAATTTCTGAGATGCATATTAATTGTTAGAGTAGAACAATATCATATGGTGTTACTATTTCTTTTGTTTTTATTGCTGCATATATTGTTTTATTTTTTGGCTTGTAAGCAGCTCAGAGCTTGGCTTTAAGATGGGTGGCTATACACATGTTTTAAATAAATAAATAAATATTGGCACTAGACTGAGTCAAAATTTTGCACAGTTTTGAATAATTTTTATTAGTCAATGTCATGTTTTGGTGAGTGCTATTCACCTGATCATGAACTAGATGGATTTGTTCTCTTTTGCCAGCAACTTCTTCTCTAGTTCTTGATATTATATCTTGTTCCTTGCGTTTATCAACCTCAGTGATTTTCGGAACTATGGCAATTTTCTCAGTCTCCTGTCTTACCTGATTGTATTATAGCAAGAACATAAGTTTTAGGTTACATAATGTCTCAAACAAACGACGACAGCAAGATATCAGAAAGAAATATATTCCAATTTATGGACAGAGAAAGGTTAACAGATTAAATGTTTTATGTTCTGCCCCTGCAGAATATTTCAGTTCCTGAAGCAGATAAATATTGATGCTTGGTTATTAACTGACTGGGTAGTTACATGTTAAAAAACTGCAAGTTTAGTATATGAAGTTTTAAAGCCCAAAACACCATCACAGGGAAGCTGTGAACGTATTATGGCACACCGTATGAAAGAAAGATCATTTCCCATTTCTCTTCATGAATGCAATCAGAAAAAGATATGGAAGAGTTAGTACACTTATTGAGGAATTATGGGGATGTCAGTGTGAGAATGGGACATGAGAATAACCATCACATTAACAATGGTCCTATTCACCTTATCTTGGATAAAGTGGGCTTGTACTTCTTGCTGGGTAGTAATTCTCTCTGTAGTTTTTACTACTGGTGCGGGCACTTTGGGTTTGTCAGCTGTAATTACTACCTTAGGTACAGAAGGTTTCACGGGCTTCACAACTTCTTTCCTTGTCTGATGTTTATAGCAAAAAGAGAGGTGTGATTATACATGTGGTGTTGCAAAAATGTTCATTTAGACAGCAGGGAAAAGCAGGCAGGAAGCAGTAAAGCACATGAAATTACAAAGAGGCAAAAATAATAAAAAATTCCATTCCATTTCTAAAATTACTAATCTACAGTCTTCATACAGCTCCATTTTAATCTACATGGCTCTATTATATTTAATAGAGCTGACTTAAAATGCAGAAGGGGCAAGCTGACAATTTATGAATGAAGTGTAAGTAAATCGCAGGCTCTTTTTAGTGAAATAGCTACCCTTCACTTTCATTTTCGGAACATAATGAGAATATAAGAACAATCTTTTAGGGAACCAGGGTTGGGGGAGAATTTTGTTTGGGCCAGATTTTTAAGTGAACAGATTTAGTTTATACTTTCTGGATCAATATGCAGATTGGAACATAATTTATCTTCTGAGCTGAATTTTGCAAGGCACACATGAGGGAAAGTTCCATTTAAAACATCATGTATTCTAGAAAATTGTCAATTAAACACATCTGCTGGGATAAGTTGGAATCTCAGAATAAACTGGAAGTTGGTTGAAAGGGATTTATGTTTGAATTTATATGAGAATTACACTGATCTGAGACAAACTGATTTCTAGACCTACACAAGAACATGATTTCTTATAATCACCTCTGAATTTAGATCCATGTGGAACAAGCTGTGGGAAAAAAACCCTAGTATTTGTTGTAACTCAAACCAAATTCAGTTCCTAAACATGATTTTTTAAAGATTTGCAGAATATTAATTTGTAACTATAACATTAATTATGTCCCTTTGAAACATTTCTTCATCAACCCCTGTTAAAGCAAAAGAAGATGCAGAGATAGCAATGAAATCGGTGGGTCGTTTTAAAATGTGAGCAAAAATAGTTACTGAATTTCAGTGGCTAAATTGAATACCGACAAGTTTTTTCTTATTCTCCTTGATGCCTGCAAGAACAATCAGACTGAAAACCACCAATAATCATTCAGTGAAAAATATGAGCATCTGAATAAGAAAAGAAGATATGTTCCATAAAATTCCTAGATGGATTATTTCTTAATTTTTCTGTTGTATTTTTTAACTTTGATGGATTTCTTTTGGGCAGATAAGTCTTTTAAATCAATCAATGGAATTTTAATTAGGATTAAATTGTTGATTCGTTTTCATTAAAAGAAGAGAACTTTCATAAAAGGGAGCAAAGTTGCTGTTGCAGTGATACAGTTCACAAGGAAACAAAGGAAAATAAAAAAGAAATGTGAAAATGAAGTTTGCAACTGAGCAGGAACAAAATTGTGCAAAATTTATATTCACCCTTTCATGAGCGATGCGCATTTCTTCCCTTCTGATAGATATTTCTTCTCTAGCTCTTGAAATCTCTTCTTGTTTCTTAAGTGTGTCAGGAGCAATTATTACCTTGGGCACAGGAACTTTCACTGGTTCTTTTCTTATCTAATTGTGTGATAGAAAAGAAAGGATTTCAATTACCAGATTCTCCTCCCCCCAACTCTCACCACTAATTATATCATTTTTTCAGTAATAGAGATAACCTTAAACAGCACATGAACACAGTTCTGCAAAGAGCTAAGTATTAAAATAAATGAGTCTGCTAAACTCCATCCTGGATTATGGCCAATGTGGAGAACAGCAATTCTAGAACTGGAATGTTTATATTTATTTTATTTTATCTTGTTTCGTTTCATTCATGCATCAGGATATTTTTAACCACATTGAACAAGCTGTATTAAACTGGTTTGCACCCAGAGCCATAATGGGTGGCTTCACAAAGCAAACTACATTACAAACTTCATGTTTTGTAAGTAACTATTTGTATTGTTGTGGGGCTATGTATTTTACTTTAGATAGCCACAATCCTAAATACATTAGAGCACATCAGATACATTAGTTGTCCAAAGTGGAATACCCTTCACAAAATATACCTTGTACCAATTATTTCTATTTGATAAAAACTGTTGGGAATAAAAAGGAACGGCAATCGTGTTTCTGATTAGCAAGAGTACCTAAAAAAATTGTTCCAAGGTGTCCTTATATCATCTCAAAGCTCCAGAAACCTGCCCGGCATAATCTAGCCCAGTTTTCTGTATCCCCTGCTCCTGGCTGCTGATGTGCTGAGCATGCTGGGTTTTCATGGTGTGGTGGGGAGGCAATTACCCCATCATTTTTTTAAGAAAAGGCAGTGTCTCCCCAAATTGCTGGGTATTTCCTTTTCCTTCTCAGTGGCCCCATTTTGGCTCCTGGGTTTGTTATTTAAGTAAGTGATGTTATATTATTTACCACCAGAGAAATAAGGTTTGGGCTGCTTTTCTTAAACAACCAGATTGACTTGAAGCAAAGCAAAACCCCGAGAGTAACTGTTTCTAAGGAAATATTCTGTTGCTGTACAGTTTGTGTATGTCAAAAACAATTTTTGGAATGCCCCACAATTTCAAAAGCAGTTTTCCATACATGAAAGGAATAAGAAAACTACTATTTAAGAAAACGAGTGTACTGTTGTTGCCTTAGGTGTACAATCCTAGCTCTATAAATTCTGGCCTCTAAGATCAAAACTTCTCTTTATTAAATTAGCAAACATAATTAGTCACGTTTACTTTAGATACAGGATTTAGAGAGACTTCTGTGAATGTTAAAAATGACAAACATAACCAATCCATTGTGGATGGAAGGGAAATGTCAAGCTAGAGGCATATCAAATCAAATCAAATCTTTATTATGATCATAGACCCGCATAAAGCTAGAGACATCATTTCTAAAGAGGAATTCTTCAAAGTTGTAACAAGCAAGTCAAAGGAGAAATGGATGCATGTTTAATAGTGCTAATAAATTTTGTAACTAAGGAAAAGGAAGCTTTTTGCACAAAAGCAATGTTCACCTTTTCACGAGTAATATGAATTTCCTCCTTTCTCATAGGAATTTCTTCTCTAGCTCTTGAAATCAGTTCTTGTTCTTTAATTGTGTCAGTGGCAATTATTACCCTGGGCACAGGAACTTTCACTGGTTCTTTTCGTATCTAATGTTATGGTAGGAAAAAGAGAGTATTAATCATTGAATCTAAGCAAACAATAACAACAAAAACTCTCAAAACAAATTGCACATGATATAACCATAATCAGCACGTGGGGAAGGTTTGGCATAGGACTGAAATAAATAAGCTTCAGTGTGAGAAACTCCATCCTATACTATCGCTGATAAGTAAAATTGCAAGCTATAACTGAAATTGTTATATTTGTTCCATTTCAACCCATGGTTTGTTGAACAAGCCACACAAATCTGGTTTGTAGGTAGAAGCCATAACAGATGCATTCACAAGCAAAGTACATTATGGACTTAGTGTTTGTAAATCTATTTGTATGGTTACAGAGTTGTAAATTTTACTTTATATCTTTGGATAGCTACAATTCTGAGCACACTGGAGGCAGATTTGATCCAATATTTCTCCCAATAATATATTGACAGAATGCATATTGTACATTTATCATAACTGGGTGGATAGGACTCTTGTTCTTGATTAACAAATGGGTTCTCAACAAATGGTTCCAGACTGATCTTGTTTTCCTATCGGAGCAGTGGCAATGTGATCTGAAGATGGAGGAACTCTCTGTAGCTCCCCTGTCATGGTCAGATCATGCTTTAGTTGTCATGAGATTCTCTGGTGCTGCCCCATGCCACAGGGAGATGGGACCTACTAGATCGGTCCACTCTTGGCATCTAGTGGACCCTGATGGGTTCCAGAGGGAACTGGGGGTCATTCCTGATGATCTGCTCCACGCTCCAGCTGAGGCTTTGGTCATCACTTGGAGTGAGAGGGTGGCTGAGGCTTTGGAGCATCTGGAGCATTGCTGGAGATTGATGAGCAATGAACTTAATCAAACATGGGTGATAGCTGCTATTAAGGCCTACCTAGTGGTGGTAAGGGTGACGAAGCCACAATACTTCTCCACTCTTATTGCATCTGCAGATAGCTGCCTGGTGGCCTTGTTTAGGGTGACCTGAGCCCTCCTGGGGAAGGAGGACTTGGAAGCTCACCTACAGGGCCACACAGAGGAATTTGCAAAGCATCTGTCAGCCAAAAGCCCTCAAATTCATTCCCAGTTAGACATTAGCTTTGTATGGGTCTAGTGGAGATGCCTGGGGCACGGTCTTGCCCAGTTATCTGGGAATGGTTTGAACCTGTTGGACCTGAGGAAGCGGACAGGGTTCTTATGACTGTGCCATTCCCTAGGCAGCGTTTCTTGGCCCTTTCTCCCAAGGTCTTTCCACACACACATTACACCTGGTGCCTGGAGGCTGTGGGGGTCTGGATGGGGAATAACAGGCTTCAAATGAACCCTGGCAAGACTGAGTAGCTCTGAGTTTTGGGGCCTTCTGGATCTGGGACTTTATCATCTTTGGTACTGTATGGGGTGGCACTACGCCAGACAGACCCAGTGCACAAGGGGGGGGGGGGCTCCTTCTAGACTCATGACTCCTGCTCAAGGAGCAGGTAGCAGTCATGGCTAGGAGGGCCTTTGCTCAGCTTCACATTGTGTACCAGTTGCACCCTTTCCTGGATCGCGAGTCTCTACCCACAGCCACTCATTCCCTGGTCACCTCCAGAGTGGATTACAATAATGCACTCTACATGGGGCTGCCCTTGAAGAGTATCCAGAAGCTTTAACTGGTGCAGAATGTGGCTGTGTGGACAGTTATGTGTGCTCCTAGGAAGGAACATGTTACATCTCTGTTCCTTGAGCTGCATTGGCTGCTCGTTTGCTTCCAGGTGCAATTCAAGGTTCTGGTTTTGACTTTTGAAGCCCTACATAGCATGGGACCAGGTTATTTGAGGGATCGCCTCTTCACAATTACAGTACATCTACCCATCCCATCGGGTCCAGCAGGAGAGGCATACTGCGGGTCCTGTCTGCTAAACAGTTCGATCTGATGGGACCCAGACAACGTGCCTTTTCTGCTGTGGTTCTTTCCCTCTGGAACATTATCCCCCCCTGAGGTAAGGTTACCCCATCCCTGTTAGCCTTTCAGAAGGCCCTGAAAATGTGGCTTTTCCAGCAGCCTTGGGGATCCCAGGGGGAGCCTGTGCAATGGTTATGTTGTGTTTAAATGATTGTTCCTCTCCTGAAATCTTGCTTTTATTTATATTTTAAAGGTTTTTTAAACAGCCTTGATATTGTTTTAATTGCTGGTTGTATGTTGCCCAGAGTCACGTTCAGTGAGATGGGCAGCCATATAAATGTGTTTGTTTGTTTGTTTGTTTGTTCGTTTAAATACGTCCTCACATCCTTTCAGAATTCTAGATGCCTGCCCAGGATAACCTAATTCAGTTTTCTGAATTTGTGTGGGCCAACAGAAAGACAACATTTCATGGCTATTCAGTAGGCTGACTTTTCATAGCACTTGTTGGGGGGAGTGGGAGGGAATTCCCCCTTATACATTGATAATAAAGTATATCATGGAAATGAAGCTTGCAAATGAAACTCAAGTAACTTTTTTCTATGAGTAAATAGGTACTATTCACCTTTTCCTCAGTGATCTGTATTTGTTCTTCTTTTGTAGTAACTGCTTCTCTGGCTCTTAATATCATTTCTTGCTCTCTGGCTTTCTCAGTAGCAGTAGTAACTACTATGGCAGCTTCTTTTTTAACCTTTTTTTTTAGTGGCAAAAACAAAGAAAAAGCAAGCTATAACATTTAATTCAATCAATCGTCCCTTTATAAAATGCATGCAAAATATAATAGCGAATGAAGGGAAATATACTCGGGAGCAAAGGTTAGTTTAAGCTCAGCAAGGGGGGAAAAAAATAAATGAACTTTCAGAAAACCTTTGTCACTATGATAAATGCATTAGATGAATTAAGATGAACTCAATTTTTAATCAAGGTTATTTAACTGATTCAGGACCAGTTTTAAAACTATTAACCAATTCCTGACATTAACTCTGGCGGATTCATTGAATCCACAAGCAGCAGCTTATTGGTTTGTCTGTATCATTAAGACATGCTTGTCTGTAGCATTTGCCAGCATTTTGTTGACTTTCTGCAAATGTCTGCATTAGTAGTATGTAATGGAAAGCAAGGGGAGAGTGTTATTTATTGTCACTTTGCTTTATATCTACCTGCTCCTGGACAGGCGGAATGTGTACTGCAGTCGTGGCTGTCCTTCTAGCCACCTGCTCTACAGGGCTTGGAAGAGGTTCTCTCTCTCTGGCCATGTCAACAGCTGCAACTACTGTAGCGACAGCTGCTGTTCTGTCAATGTCCTGCAGGATCCAAACGAGTGACATGAAAAGACAGCTCATTGGGATACAGCATCAGCAACATGAGCAATCGGTACAAATGCAAGCAACTGCTATACCATATTGTCCTGTGTCAACATTATAGCACAATTGCCTAAATTAGGGGTTGGCATTCTATGGCAGCGGGACCCAATGACTGGCCCGCTGCCTGTTTTTATATGGCCCCTGGCTAAGAAAGGGCAGGTGAGTGGCAGCTCCTGGGGCAAGGGGCAGGAGCAAGGGACGGGGTCAATGGTGGTAGCCTATTAGCAGCCTTCTTGCTGGTGGGACAGCACCGTATTAATGGCTGCCGTGTTCCTTGGCCTGCAGACCTGCCAGCTGGACCCATGGAGGCAGAGGAGGGGCAGGATCTTTACAAAACAAAGTTTGCCAACCCCTGGCCTAAATAACAGCAAGTAAAAAGAGGAACAGGGTGCCTATTTTCCTCAAAACAGACCCATTCTGTGGCACGACCACATTATTTTGAGCAAAAAGCCCTACACTTTGCGCAGTACAGTACTTTTCCGTGCAAAGGACTCACCTCTGTAACTGCTGCCGCGGCAGCAGCAGCAGCAGCAGCACCAACTGCGAGGGTGGCATCTGCTGCAGCGGCTCCGCTGACAGCAATCTGTTCATGCAGTCCGTATCTCCCTTCCCATCTTTCTTCAGTCCTCATCTGGGTGGCGCTCGTAGTTATTCTGGTGTCTTTCATTCTGGTTTCAGACGTAGCTACGTAGCCTTCCTGTTTCCATGGAGGAAGCACCTCAGCCCCCATTGCTGCCGCCGCTGCTGCCTGTGTTTTCCGGACCAAGAGTGGTGACCTCACAGGTCTGATAGGCGACGTAGAGACTGAGAGCCTTCCAACCCCAGCAGGAGACACCGGTCTGTAACAAAATACAGCTGATATTGATGCCGGGGAAGAACAGCCCACCAAAGGGACTCTGGACAGATGGAAAGCTAAGCCGCCAGTAGCCCTCCAGAATACCCAATCCCATCAAACGGTGCCCTTCTTCCCATTGTTCATTTAGTTTCAATTCCATGCAAACTAAACTCTTTGCAATCTTAAGGACTGGTTCCTGACTCTTCTTGCAGCAGCCCCTTTTCCTTTTGTATAGTGCCTTTTTACTTTCTAAACCTAAGGGCAGTTAGTCAGCTAGCATTACTGTGAGCCTTCCTGGCATATAAATGATTTAAATTAATTAGTAATAATTTTCAAAGAAAACTGATGTTGCCAATTGTTCCTAATCTGATGCACTTCAGATGTTTTGGACTGTAATTCCCATCAGTCTTGACTGCTGGTTAGATTGATTGCAACTAATAGGAATTAGAATCCATCAGGTTGAGAAAGGCTGATTTAGAAGAACATTCTGAGCAGAGGTCCATTAGCAATAGAGGTCTTTAGGAAATTAATAATATTTTGCTTTTTGCTTATTTTTCCTTTCTCTTCTGCCTACTGAGTTTGAGAACGCAACCTGGCTGCAAAAAGGAGAGACCATAAGTGGAAATTGTCACCAATTACAGAACTGTCCTACAGATGTCACTATTGTAAAACTATTGTAACTCTATGGCTATACTATTGTAGGTCCTTATCTAGGAAATCACAATGAGTGATTTTAAATCTCTGTAACAACAGATGGGCATTCTGTTCCTTTGAGATGCAGAGCTAAGAGTACCTATATATCTATATTTTAAGGCAGAGTAGGGGATTATAAAATATATGATATCTATGTTTGCTTCCCAGCTATTCTGACCCCCCAAATGGCTTTCTTCCTGTCTGAAATGACAAATCAGCAACTCAAGACACCAGGGCTATAATATTCTCCCGCCAAAATTCTAAAAAATAAAAATGAATTCTTATGTACAGAAAATATATCAGGGAAGAGGAAAGGCTAGAATCCCATGTAGATGACATTTAGGGTGGTTTTTTTACACGGAGGGATTAGTTTATAGCTGATGATGACATAAATGATATTTTATAAATAGTAATAATTTCATTAACAAAACATTCTATGAATATTACAATCCTCCATAAGGGTAAAAAGGCATAACCATTTTGTATGTAGGAATGAAAAGGTGATAGAAGGCTATAATAAAGGTAAATAAAATGCTATTGTAACCTTAAAAATATTAATTTAAAATGTCTCTTCCAGTATGACTGCAAATAGAAATAGACTGTGGCATTTACTTTGGATTACTTTGTCTGCAACTGAAATATAATATCTACACACTCAACCTAAAGACATTACCAGAAATTCTGGATTCCTGGTTCCAAGCAGCCTTATTTCAAGTAAATATGAAGGATCAGGGAACATCACAGAAAAAAAAAAGAATTGGTTGCCACTAGATGGCACCTTTCAGTAATTGGCTTGGGCTACAGTCAGCATTAAGAATGTTTGAAAGAAGCTGTTTGGTGAAATTATCTATCTATATGCCAATAAACAGTTTATCTATGCTTATATGCTGACTCATACTAGCGCTTCAATGTTTTCAACATTATTATCAGGAACTGGACTAAAAACTTCCTCTGCAAATTTCTTCACGGGAAGACAAATACTAAAGTGTTTTAGTAGATGGTAGACGATGGAATTATCTTTAAAATAAGGAGACAGGTATTATTATTATTATTATTATTATTATTATTATTATTATTATTATTATTATTTAATGACAACACAAGTTTTGATTCTGCTTCAACTACTGACACAGCTGCATGGAACAACTTCCCAGGAGTCCCTTCAGAATCTGCCTGTGTCTGTCTCTCTCTGTCTGTCTGTCTGTCTGTCTGCCTATGGGAAATCTGTCACCCATTCCCTATCTGAAAGCTACAGGTATTTGTTTCTCTTTGGTTGACAGGGAAGAAATCACCCCATGAAAGAAAAGAGGTGATATTTGATCCAGCTTTAGAAGACAGACATGTGCATATACATGCACACATATAGATGTAATTTTTTTCCTATGATAACTCACAGGACTATGTAATAGCACTGCTGGCCAGAAATATTTTGCTGTACCTCTTAAAGATCAATGTTTGCCTGCCACTAAACCAGGGAAAGGCAAAGTGTGATTCTCCAGATGTTCTTGAACTTTAACTCCCATCAGCTCTAGCAAGCATAATTAATAATAATGAGGAATTCTGGGAACTGCAGGGCTACCTGTTACCTTTTCCTGACCTGGGTCAAACCAGAATTTTACATGTGAGTGGTTTACCTGACTGGTGATGGTGTAGGAGCTCTAACATGTCGTACAGGAGATGGTGATTGTCTGACTGGGGATGGTGATTGCTGGCGTGCCATCTGTACTTTGGCTGCAATGATTGGTGGAGTTGGTGACTTAGAGGAAGGACGAGGAAGCATGCGTGGGGGTGCCTTATGGGGCAGCTGCTGCCCAGTGGCACTTTCTATAATCATCTCAGCAGTCGCAAGTGTTCTGGCATCAAAGTGGGCTTCAATCTTCTGCAATGAAAGATCAAGAATGCTCATGAAGATCTAGGGTTAAAGCCCCAGCCTTTGGAATTGTTGGTAACACAATCTGCCAAATTACCAACCTTTTCAGTTCGGGTTTGTCGTGTTGTTTGTGTAATCTGAGCAGTCGAAACAATTGTCTTTGTCTTTTTAGCGGGAACGGCTTCTTCTTCACCTTAGAGAAAAGAGAATGGGACTTCTTCAATGGCAATAAATTAGAATTGGTTCTGAGAGGAGCGGGCAGAAGTACACAATCTATGATTTATTTATGGGTTCATATATACTATTATCAAGAAAGCTGTGCAGACCTATCCTTTCCACAAAGTCCCCAGCAGCTGTGCTCAACTTGAAGGAGATGTTACCCTTATATAGAAAAGCTCCACAGGGCAAATAAATAAATGATTGAATAGATGAATTCTCTTAGGTGCAGATTAATAAGGAGATGAATTCATATCAAATTAGCCTTTTCATACAACTGTAGTATTAAGCCAAGAATAGCGAAGCTTAGGATGGTCTATTTAGAAGGAAACACTACTACATTTAATGAGAACAATGCCTAAATAAGGGCATCTAAGCAAAACTCTAGGAAGGTATTCCCTAGTAAAATATGAAGAGCTAAACTAAGGAACCACTGGAAGCTGGCACAAAAGGACACCATCGTTTGCCCCTAATTACCCTTCATACATCTAAAGGTGAACATTTAAATGAACATTTAAAAGGGAGCTACAAGCATGCTTATCTGTCCTTTAAAATTGCCCATTTTTAATCAGGTTTTCTGGCCACAGACAGCTTTGTAAAGTCAAACATGCTTACAAATCTTTTTTTGGATTTTAGCCCTAACTAACCACCTAAGGATTTTAGCCTTAGGAACAGGTGGGACACTGATGCGCTTTTATATTTCTTTTGTAGTTCAGTCCTTCCCATATGGGAAGCTAAATGCATGGATAGGGCTTGAATAATGTCTAGGAAAAAACAACTATCAAAATATTAAGCCATGACATTAACCACAGCTTGTTGAATAAGCCATAGTAACCTAGTTCTCACATAATGCTAACCCACAAATCATGGTTTATTAATCCCAATAGCTGAATTCACATTTTGTGTCATAAGTGACTTTGCCTTAAATAAATATTTAAAAATCACACTGTTACTTAGTATGATATGTAAATCCAACCTATATATTTTAGGTACATGTCTTTTTTCTTTTCCTGAGTTCTTTTCCTGTTTCCTACTTTTAGAGATGTAAACCACCCAGAGCTGCTGGATGTTAGGTGGCCTCTAAATCCAAATAAATAAATAAATAAAAGTATTAGCAGGCAACATTCACAGCAATTCAAATTACTTACTTATTATTCAAAACTTTAATTTGCTTGCTTAAATCTAACTATTGAATGAAAGATCCATTGTTCAAAAACAATGCCAGTGGAAACCAGTTTCCAAACAGGTAACTCTAGCTTGTTGTAGGGAAATTGTACATGCAGAACTGTCTTGTGTGTACAATTTCAGCAGCCCATTCTTGTCTTTTAGGGAAGGGCCAAAACTCAGGGATGAAGCTATGCTTCCAGAAGGTGCCACCCCAGAGTTCAATCCCTAACATCAGCAGGGGCTTGGGAACATCCCTTGTCTCTTACTGGTCAAAGTGGAAGACAGTACTGAGCACCTTGAACCATCCACTGGGTAATGTTAGCCATTGGATGCAATGATTCTATGGGGGGCATTCTTTAGATTGTAATGTGCTTCCCACACACCAAAGGCGATAACCTGGACCCACTGTGTTTGAAGGGCCACCTGGAGTCCTGCTCAGACTACGCCCCTGGCTCAATATAGGGATTTTTCCCTAGGTTAGCTGCTTAAGAACGGTGACTCTCCTTCTAATCAAGCAGTTCGTTTCTGCTTTAAAGGCGCCTCATGTGCAGATGGGGTTCTGAGTGTACACGTGCGCTGGAGCTGTTGAATACAGTAAGGCCTGGATTTCTGCTCCTCCACTGGGCTGCGACTGCAGCTTGGCTTAAACTTCAGTCTATGCTTAAGCAAGTTATTATGAAACTAGAATACCCAGCAAGATAAACCCTGGAGGGAAGAATTTAGTCGCTGATTTACTGGATTTTAGATTAACAATACAATGTAAAACAATTGCAAGCATATACACTGTGCCTCACACTAGGAATAAGTTAGTGTACTTGTTTTTCTTATATTAACAGGGGAAGAAAAGAAGCTGAATATTTCTTGCTGTTCTTTCTGAAAACGATTTTATCTTTTTGTCACGCTGAAGTATTTATGATCAGCTTCTGTCCAGGGTGAAATTTTACAGCCACATTAAAATCACCTGAGAGAAATGGAGTTGATGGATTTGTTGACAGAAGAGCAATCATTGTGAGGTTTGCTGCCCTACTGGTATAATTCTATAGTTTGGGGAAAAAATCATTCTTGGTTGACTGTCCTGGCTCACAAACATCTAAACCGTCCTTACCTTGAATGAGCAGTTCAGCTGTTGAAGTGGCTCGTCCCACGCTATTTGTGGCGTTTACTGAATAGGTTCCGGAGTCTTCAGGGTAAGCTTCTGCAATTATTAAACTGTAGAGGTCTCCTTCATGTAAAATTTGAAAATCGGGGGAGCTTTGAATTTCTGCTCCATCCCGATAGAACTTCACCACAGGTGTAGGGATTCCAGTCACTCTCACGTCAAGTCGAACTTGACTTCCTTGTCTAATTGTCATGCTCTGTAGTCGTTGTGAAAAGTTGGGTGGCGCTGTTTCGGCTGTAATTTAGAGTAAAGAGGAGGAGGAGGAGATGAAGGTGGAGGAGGAGGAGAGGAAGGGGAAGGGAAGGGAAGGGAAGGGAAGGGAAGGGAAGGAATGTATAAGCAAGAGCAAACATAAGGAACATCATGGATAATACATAAGCTTTTATATGGGTATAATGGGTGCATATTAAATGTTCTAGGAAGGGAAATCTCAATTTTTACTTTTCACTTGAAAATTGTAATTCCGTATGATTTTTAAAAAAATTAAAAAGTCTACATATGATTGCTCTTATTAATTGGAATAATATGGCTACAGGTGTGTTTTAGAGAGCACTACAAATTGTTTGACCATCACATCCATCTTCTTCATGCTTACATACTCCAGTTACTCTGGACAACTGTCAACATCCCAGGCTGGATGGGGTTGATGGTGGATGTACCCCAACATAGCTGGACAGCGCAAGTTTATGGATGGCCAGCTAGTGCAAAAATATCCCTTTAATGGGATTAGAAAGAAAGGAATTATTTGTATTTTATTTTGTTCTATAGATCCACTCCAGCAAAATCTCTAGCTGAGAGAATGCCTTTTAGTTGTAGGGAGCTGCAACTTGTTTGAAAAAGGTGCAATAATGACACAAAATGAGCAACGACAATGGCATGAAGGGGCCTTGGATGGACCCAGGATTTCCAGACCTTTTTCTAGAATGGTTTGAGATTCTTCTAAAGTTTTCACAACAGTTTTACTATATTCCCTGGCTGAAAAAAGCAGAAAATGAAACCATCAATTTTTAGTTGCAAACTCTGCCTCTGAAAATTGACAAAGGATTTCAACTGACTGAGAGGCTGCAACCCAAAGGCTTTTGGGAGCCACATGCACGTTGCCCATAATTCTGAAATTATGAGGCAGGATTTAAAATGAGGCACATAGAAGTAAAGCTTTCTATATTCAGGTTATAAAGACACTTTCCCTTGAAATATCAGGAGGTAGGCAGATGCGAAATCTGTATAGGTACACCCCACAGAAATAAAAAATAAATAATAATAATAATAATATACATAAAGCATAGTGTGAGCATAAAAGCATGATTGTTGATATCCTTTTTGTACGGGTTCTTGAGAACTGACTGGTGTAAGTCAGTTTTCATATTCATTATTTTTTACTGGTCTTTATTTACACTTAAATATGTTAGGACTGAGGGATATGTTAGATCTTAAGAACCCTAATACCTTGTTTAAAGACATGATTGCTTAATAGTTTTTCAATTCAGCCTTCATCTTTGTGAACTCTGTTCACCAAGCTCTAAAATGAAAGATGGAAGGTATCAATAATCACAACATACCGGTAACAAGTAGTTCCGCGGTACTTGTAGCTTGTCCAGATCCATTGGTGGCTTGTAGGGTATATCTTCCACTGTTATCTGCGGTCACGGCGGGGATCACAAGTTTAGCGCGGCCATCGCTAAATGAGATCTGCACACCGGGCAGAGCTGCAGCAGAAATAACCTGGCCATCCCTATACCAGCTCACCTCAGGAACTGGGAAACCTTGAGGAGGACAGTGAAGGAAAGAGGAGTGTTCATAAGATCCCATTGGCATCAGTTCCAAAATACCCCCAGTTCTTGCTAGTGTATATGGTAAAGTCATTAAAAGGCTGGATCAAGGGCTTCAGTAATTGGGATAGAACAAAGGAAACTGCAGGGCACTGGGGAAAATCTAAGCTTACTACAACACAACTCCAAAAAATAGGAAAAGGCTCAATCTATTTTATGTTACAGATTGAAAGGTTATATTATCAGATTCTTCTGTAACATTCTGATCTGCTTTCTTTTGGATACAGTTTGCTGCTATTCCTCAATATCTGACACAAAGAGACATTTATACTCTTAGGTGGTATTATCAAAGAAAGACTATATTTTAAATGCCTGATGCTTGAGAAGGAAAGACATGTAGGTGCAACGATAAAAGATACTCTTCTTGTGATTTAGGAGGTCAGATTTCAAGAGATAAAAAAGTCCATAGAGTTTTGGTGCATCACAATAACCAAGTACTGAATCATTGTCAAATCTGTCTAACATAATGAGTAACTTGGGGGAACAAAAGATTTACAACATCTTGCAGTATGAGTTAGTGTTACCATAAGATTGCAGTATGTGAAAGGTTGGACTGAAAACAAAAGCAAGAGAGACTCAGTCCTATTTCACACATCGTGCTAAACTACACTTAGTTTGCTTTTGGTAATGATGTGTGAGCCTAACTGTTATGGCTTAGAATTATGTCCAGATGCAATCACAATCTCAGAAATCAGGACCTCTCACTGTAATGCAGAAGGGGCAGGGAAGCATTACGTTAGTTGTTTACTAATTTCACTGTCCTATCAATCCCAGTTAATGTGGTGGAGGGATCTGACTTTGAGAGATACAAAGAGGAATATGATTGAATGCAAAGTCTGAAGCAGTGTTTCTCAGCCTTAGCACCTTTAAGATATCCGGACTCCAGAGTTGAAGTCCACACACCTTAAAGATGCCAAGGTTGAGAAACACTGGTCTAAAGGAAGTTTAAGATGGGGCAATGAGCCAAAGAGAGAAGGAGACAACTTAAAATCTTTCCTGTCAGATTGCTGTCCCATAGTCTCAGTTCCATACTCTCAGCATGGGAATAGAGAGCTTGTCAAGAAATAGTGATCAATGGAGGGAGCCACTACTTGGAAACCATTATTACTAGGACGGTGGAGGGCAAGGAGGCATTTTTGCATATTTGGTGCAAAATTCTATTGAATTTATCAGTGTTTCAGAAAAAAGGAGTAAACACAACAAAATGCTATGTTTAGAGGATTTACAGTAAGGACAGAAGGCTGCCTTTGATTTGTTTAAAATCTAGTGATAGAGGCAGATTATATTTTACTATATAATCTTCCTTGGGAGGTGTCAATATTAATTTAGGGTCCTCTGCCTATCAGGTAAATACTGTCATTTTCTAGCAGTATACAATATAAACTTGACCTCAACAGTATGACTGATTTCAGTGGTATGTTCCAGAAGTTTTAGGGTCTATATCTGTATCATTTATTTGTATTTTTTAAAAAGTGCTTTTCAATAATCTAATCCCAAAGCATTGTAACAACATTAAAAGAAAACATACAACAAACCAGTACAGTTGGAGCATATAAAACTAAGATCCTTTAGGCCACAACATTTCAGTCAACTAAATTTTCAGACACCCCCCACCCCAATATCCTCATATACTCATGGCTATACCAGGCAGGGGGTCTATACAGATGTTTTAAACACAAAACTGCTCAGATAATATAGAAAAGGAGAAGGATCTGCTTTAAACATCAGAGGTGCATAGATAAAGAGTCCAGATATATATATATACTTCTCATGCACTTCCTCTACTGAATTATTGTTAACCTCTCAGTTGAGCTGAATTATAATACTGGACATCATTCAGCTGGGAGAAAAGTATTGGGGCAAAAAGACTGCTTAGAAGTAAGCAAAACTGCAGAAAGGCTTGGCACCTTTAACTACATGCAAAGCCTTTTTTAAGAATTTGAGGAGCTTGGGACAGAATGTTTATTTGAGTCACTCTCCTACTTAATTCCCACACCTTCCTGTATTTTCTTTTCCTGCCAGAGAAATCAGTAAAGAAGCGTCAGGAGTGGGGAGGTAAATCCCAAAGACTGACATACTTCTTAGAATTGTAAGTGATCATCGTATTTTTGCTAATGAGTAGGAAAGTCTTGATTGGCAAATATTGATTCAACTTACCATTTCAAATTCTGAACTAACCTTTGGATATCACCAGGGCAATTGATTCTTTTAAAAATGTATCTTTTAAAGTTAGTGGTAGACAAGATTGCTCCTGCAGCTGCAGCAAGTGGGGCATGACTAAATGAGTGTTATCCTTTCTCTGATATCTTATAATTCCCAGCTCATAATAAATAATTGAAGTTAAATATGCTTCAGAGAAGGAGACCAAACAGCTGGGATTTCTAAGTAAGGTCTATACTAGAGACCTTTCTAGAAGTGAGTCCTGCCTTGATTGCTCACACATATTACTTAAATTCTGCACATAGTTCACTGATCATGACAACATGATAAATACGCACATTGTTTTTCCTGCTTGGTGAAAATAGATATATTTTCAGTATATAATCCAAATGTGCATATGGTATACATACATGTATATGTTCTGAATCAGGGAATATTTTCATATTGTATTCAGTTCCTGTAATATGGCTCTTAACTTACAAAGATGTGGGCTGCCATAAAGTACAGTATGATTTCATTGGCCTGGCAAGAATTGCTCCACATCTAAAATAGTCATGCTGCCAGTGGCATCTAAGGGGATGGGGAGCAAGATGGTGGTGGTGCCATCACAATCAAAGCTCTTAGTAAGCACATGCAATGTTGATGCACATATAAAAGAGGTGGGATTTTTATACTGATGTCACAACTACCATAGCTGCATGCTACAATGCTTACAAAAGCTGGGGAACGTTATATACAATATATAGGTTTAGGACTTTCAAAAATTACTTAATGCTAGCTTAAAATTTAGGAGATTCAGAAACTGAACTCCTAATGGTTCTTTATAATAATATAATATAATATTATTATTATTATATTATAATATAATATAATGGTTCATTATAATAATCAACATTATTATTGTGATCCACAAGCTAACCCTGAGATACAAGAACACTCATAGATTCCACTCGGTCTCCATTAGGGCTGCCATGTCTGGGCTGTAAATAACTACAGGACCGCTAGATGGTAAAAGAATCTGTATCTCTATGCTTCCATTTATTGGCCGTCTGGATTTTGCAGTCCAGATATGCTAATTTTCATCTTAGACAGTCTTAGAAAATAAAAATGGTGAATGTAGCCCAATGCTTTCTTTGTAAAATGCCCTGCTATCCAGAAAAAAAGAGGGAAAAGATAAGTGGGGAGTTAACAGTGAGCAGGGAATAACTCAACAATTTGAGTTCTGGTAAACTGATGTTTTAAGCATGGCCATGCCCAGGGTGGGGCCATTTTGAGAATGCCATTTTCTTGGAGTAACCGTGATATGCTGTCGAAGTGTAAAATACTGTATGTCCATTGACTCCAGATCTCTAGGGATCCCTGAATTAACCCAACGTATTGCTGACTTCGTGGTCTTCAAATTGATGCAAAACTAGAGCATGAAGAACCCAGTTCCTCTCTTCCCCTGAAGAGACCTTTTCTTTTACCCATTACCTATCTAAAGGAGTCCCACCCCATGTGTCCTTCAATTATCTGAGGCATTAGAAAGGCTGTCCCCTTGACCATGCTTTTGGAGATATCAGCAACAGGAAAGAAAACAGTGACCATAAAAACGTATGGAAGCCTCACCACTAATATGAGCCTCAAAGGTTGCAGCACTACCCTCCAGTGCCACAACACTTTGTAACGGCTGTGTAAATGTTGGCGCTTTCGTTGTCATCTTTGCAGGCACTCTGGAAAGAAAGACAAACATAAAAATAGTAGATGAGAAAACAATCTGTGGAAGCAACAGGCATAAAAAGGCAGCATAAGTATGAGGTATTATAGAGGAATTTGTTCTAATCAGATTAGACCTGTAGCTCTTGAATGGCTTAATTTTTGAAATGTGGCATTTCTTGAAAATTATATAATTAAATTATTTTTCTATATTGCTTATCCCACTGATTAATAAGTCATTGCAAATTGTCAATAGTTCAAAGAACCAACAGATGATCAAACAGAATACTTGTGCCACTGAAGAGCTTACTTTTTAACGTTGATTTTGCCATGCCTTTCTATATAACCATTTCTAAATCCCCTCCCAACTGGAATTGGGAAAAAAAATCTTTACAAACTAAAAACTGTTTGAAAATTGTAATTTATTGTATTTTCCTACTAAATGAAAACACAGTACTTAAAAAAAGTTAGTTTTTTTCTAAAATAAATTATTTGAAAAGTTTCCCTTAATGTGAAAAAAGTTTTTGGTAAGAGGAGGCCAATACAGGAAAAAAAGAAAAGAAAAAAATGCAAAAATATGAGCAGGGCAGTTGAACCTAGGATAGAAGGAGAAAAGGCCAAGTCTGAAATGTGAGCTTGGCTATAAGATAACAACTGACATTGATGGTTTGAACAACTGCAGGAAGGTACAAAATCTGTAAAACTATACTTTGCCCAATATAATATTTGTTGCTCTAACACAATGTCCTCACTGCCTTGTAAACCACAGAAAGAGTACGTATTCAAACAAGAGTAACTGATTTTACTGCAAAATGTTTCTTAATATGGATGCCTATCAATGTAAAATCAATTTATTCTGATACATCAACTGAGTACTTAATGTTAACTTGATATTTATGATGATTCACCGTATGGGACTGAACAGAGTCACAAGGAGTTATGACAACCAAAAATAGGATTCCAGTAATATCAGTGATTTATGTGAAGCCTATATTTTTTGGTCACCTTAAAAAATTTGCTATGGTTTTGATAATGGAACAATCATAGCATAAGATGAAGAAAGAAAGAGAATGAGAGACAGAAAAAATGCTAATAGGTCTTCTTATTAAAGCATAATATACTCAATTTAGTCATCCCTCTTTTTAAAGTTACTAGCTCCAGATTTTCGTAGTGAAATGTTTTACACAAATGTATTTCAGTTAAACTAAGCCAGACTATAAATATTATCTACTTTACTCTAAATTAATTGTAGCCATAAATTCCAACTAAAAAAAATGAAACCACACACCGTTTCTTCTAAACTGTAAGATGAGTTCAATATTGCGGGTGCTTTGGTCATAATTTTTTTCCAGCTTCCACAACAGATGAGGAAAATCTCCTGTTATTCAATTGTGATCTTATATGGCTTTTGTATTGCTAGTATTTCAAAGGTATGCTTCTGAAATGTCACATTCCCAAAATAACCATTCCAGGTTTGAGTGACAGGAGGCAAGTGGTCCAGAGCTGCGATGTAATGGATATTCCAGCAGCTGATTCCCTTAAAAAGTCATCAGCGCCTAGCCACGACTATGTGGCTTTATCAGAGCTATTCTGGGAACGTCTTGGTTTATCTGCAAGTAATGTAACCTTCAACACTCTTTGGAAGGATTAAAAGTTAACCCAACATTTGAAATAACTTTTCACCCTCAAGCACATTTTAAGAAACGATAGCCACCTATTTCAAAGATCTAAGAGTTCACCAACAACCAGGCATCATTTTGTTCATGGGAAAAGTGCGTTCCCCAAAACAAATCCTACAAAGAGCTGCAGACTTTTCTCCCTCTCCCCCCCGACATCCCCCCCCCCAATGCACCTTCTCATATGCATCCCTGCATACAGGGGCTGTATTTAAAATCATTAAAGAAACGTGCCCCAGAGCTTACTTGACAGATAGATATCACTCAATTCTTGCAGACATGCTACTAACCTGATTTCACAAGAGTGCCTAAGTGGAGCGGGCTAAGCCCAAACGGAAGTTTCTGGAACGACGTCCTTATCCAGAGGATGATTTTAAACAATCCCAACATGAGAATGGTTGAGCCTCTAGCCCTCAAAAACAAAACTACACAGTCGAAACGGTGTAGTTTTGTTTTCTTTGCAATCCCTACACCCGAGGCGAGGCTGGGAATGCACGACTGCTCAGAAGGGCAAACATGGTGGTTTGGCTTTTTATACTCCAGATCTGCTGACAGGTCTGCCTCTGTCCCTTCGACATCACTTCTCATTGGCTTTTGAAAAGGAAGGCCTTGGGAGAGGGGGGTCCACTTGAAGCAATAGGGCCACCTGTTTGCCTGATTGACAAGTCTAATTTTGGCCACGCTGAAGACGGAGCAACCAGCCTGTTTAGAAACTCTAGTTGGGGGGAGACAACCATTGTATCTCTGCATTAGCCCCCGCTCTTTGGAACATTCTGCCCCTGGAGGTGTGATTAGCCCCCACACTCCTGCCCTTCCGTAAGGCTTTGAAGACCTGGTTCTGCCACCTGGCCTGTGGTGGGGTGAGAATACCTCAAGCATG